CTTTTAGAAAGGAAAGAGAAAGGAAAGAGATAGGGATAGCCCCACATAAAGAAGATATACACTCTATCTATCTATCTATCTATCTATCTATCTATCTATCTATCTATCTATCTATCTATCTATCTATCTATCTATCTATCTATCTATCTATCTATCTATCTATCTATCTATCTATCTATCTATCTATCTATCTATCTATCTATCTATCTATGTTTGTTTACTGTGGTGTTGTTAGATCAGGGTCCCGTTCTTCGTATATCGCTTATTACATCTGTGATCAAATGAAAAATGCAAGATCATGTAATCGCACTAATTATTTTCTTTGAATCCACGTGCGGATTTGATTTGAGATTCAAAGCCTTGTTAAAATGCCAGAAAACACCACTGAAGCTGCCAGTACAAGGAGAGTGTTCTGGCAAAAAGCTGCTGACAAATTAAATGCGTATGTGTTCCTCCATGTTGCATTTTGTTTGGCATTTTTGTATACTTGTTTGTTCACCTTAATTTTTGTGTTTTGTTTCTTGACATTTTATTGTCTTAATGTCAGAGCCACCTCAGGACCCACTAGAACTTGGGAACAAATAAAAGTGAAATATAAGAATTTTCTACAAAATGGTAATTCTTTACTCCTTAAACTGTGTTTGAAATATCTGTTAAAATTCACTTCGTTAAATGGTGTTTTTGTCTGTTTGGAAACAGCAACCAAGAAAAAAGCAGAAAAAAACGGGTGGTGGCAGAAGAGCTTGCCCTGGGCTTCATGATACCCGGGCCATTGTGCAGGGCATCCCTGGGGCAGCTCTTCCTCACATCCACGGCAGGGAGCAGTGGCAGCAACATCTCCATTCCTGGTAAATGAGGTTTACATTCTGTCTTTTTCTTAGTAGTTCGTTATAATGAAGTATTTTTTTTCTTTTGTGCAGTTGTAGATAATACACCAACACTTCTACCGGTTCCCAAGCAAGTGGTGAATGAAGCATGTGTAGTAAGTAAATAACTTTTCATGTTAATTTTACATCAAAAGAGGAAAAGTGCAACTGTGTTTGACACCCATTTTATGTTCATTGCAGGACAGTGAAGAAACCCTCTCAGATGGCTGTCCATTGGAAGAAGTACTTGTAAATGTTTAAATGTCTTAAATTGCATGTGCTCATGTAACTAGTATTTAATGCATTGTGTCAGGAAAGTTGCAAAAAGCCTAAAACAGATTGTACACTCTTCAATTAAATGTGGCTTTTTTGAACGAGACTCTAAGTAACATGTCAAATAGCAGCAAGCAAAATGTGTTATTTTATCAATACACCACAGCGCTGTTGAATTCTGGATTCTGATTAGTCAGAAGGTGTTGATTAATTTTCTTTAACAGCAGCTCTGACAATAGCGCAGGTTTATATTAATGCACTTGTTCTGATATGTTATCGTTTCTATAGCAACAGCTCATTCGCAGGGATTTGTGAATGCAGCATTATGGATGCTCCACTTAAATGGATTAAAAATGTGTGTAGTCGTTGATATGGTAAAGTTTTCAGTAACAAGATGTTTAACATTAATGGAAGGAGTCTCCAGTGTCAGCGTTTGTAACAGTCAGAGGTAAAGCTGTAACGTTAAGTTTTCTGACATCTCCAGGACAGAGGAGTTTACACTTTGCGGTTTCTCGGTAACATCACAAGCTGCATTAACTTGAATGGACAGAAAAAAGAGAGGCTGGTGAGGGAACGATTGTTTATAGCTGCTATAACATAAGTGACAACAGGGACTAACTTGTATCACAGACATTTCACAACATTAAATGTAACTCTAAACAGATAAAAACCATAACCAGAACTGCTAGAACAAAACACCTTCTACTCAATCTACTACATCTCTCCCCCTTAAAAGCTAAACATTATCACAGTAACAGTAACTCTGATATGTTTAATTTCAGCAGGTCGTCTTTGGAGATTCTTTTAAGGCTGTAATTCCTTCTAGACAGCCAATCAATCAATAAATAATATTCCTTACACACCTTCTTTACAGAGGAATTTGGAATAACGTAAAAAAGGCATGACTTGCCATCACTACAAATATATTCCCCTCCAAAAGTATTGGAATGGCAAGGTCAGTTCTTTTGCTTTTCCTGAAGACATTAGGGTTTTAGATCAAAATAAATGAAAGTGAAATGATAGATCAGAATTTCAACTTTCATTTCTTGATCTTTACATCTGTATACTGTACATTCCTATATAGTGAAATTCTTTTCTTCCCATATCCCAGCTTGTTAGGAAGAGAGGGAGAAAAGCCTTGCTCATGGGCATGTCAGTAGCAGCTTAGCGATGCCTGAACCCTTTTGTGTGTTACCAGTAACTGTGACATATTTCAGTTTCAGCAGGTCACTGCCTGAAGCTACTGCAGTAGTTAACATGAATGTCATGAATGTCTTTGGAGATACTTTCACTTTAATTTCTGCTGCACAGGTTGGACTGTCACTCAAGAAGTAAGTTAAATACAGAATATGTGTCATTCTTGTTTTCCTGACTTCTTAGAGGTGTTTTTTTATTTTTTATCTTAGAAAGACAAAGAAGTAGTTAAGCATTTCTTGTTCAAGAAATGCTATGTTTTCAGGAAAGGCTGCCCTGGAAACACACAAACATGAAGATTTACTGTTAAATTGAGTACACAGTGTGTTGTTTAGCCTGTAATTCCTCTATTTCCCTTCAGACTGGCTGAGGAAATTCCCCTTACTTTTATTACAATGACATGCTGCTCACTGATGGTAAATGTGCTGCTAGTGATGATGTACTGGAGTTAATGTGTTACTTTGAACAGGTTCTCTCCACTGTAGAGCATTTTAATCATAATCTCATGCACTGAAACACGGTTCGTGTATGTTTTATTATCTGACTTTTGCCAGACTTTGATACCCATGTATTACAATAATATTTCAAATAAATTTGCAGGAAGGCCTACAGGTTTTCCTGAACTGAAATATGTTTCTCTTTGGCATGTTTCTCGTTCAGAAGAGCATTTTAAATTCTACTCACCCCTAAAAGTGAAAACAGAGAAAATCACATTTAATGTTTTTTATTCGACTGAAAGACGCCACACCTACCTCTACATATTACGACCTAAACTACTTATGGAAAAACAATATTACTGACAAACTGCAGAGTGTCTTCACTCACATGATCTCTGTTCATGCTAACATCGGTGGGGAAATAGTCTCTACTTTTCTGTTGGACCAGTTTCTTGTTATTAATATCTTTTTATTAGGCTAATTATAACTTTGTCCACTGTCATGGGTACAGAGTGTATAAGCGCTCTTCTCTGTTTTGATGATGTTTTGATGACGCTGGAGCATCACGGACATTTTGAGAACAGGAATCTGATTACAAACTGAACTGATTCCAGTTTTGTACTTAATAAAAACCCTTAATCAAGTCATAAGGAAAGCACACTTAGTTAGTGAGGTTTTAGACATCTTTAGGCAGACTGACTGCATTTACTGCTGCATTTGTTAAACTGGCTTTATACACATTTACAGCCAAAGCAAGGGTAGAAACAGAAGTCATCACTGTAACCTATAAACAAGATGAATGACCCTACTGTGACACACCATTCTATCAGAAGAGTCTTGTCCTCATGGACACTATTGAGGGGTGTGCTGCTCCAAGAGCCCTGTCGGTTTTTATTTATTTTTTCATATGTACTATATGGTGAACATCAACCCCACCCTTGATGATGTTAGTGCAGTGATCATCTGTGTGGTTAGCAGGAGTGAAACAGAATGGCGAGGTATGAGGGTAACTGTGGTTCTATAAACCCCAGACAACCACCACAGTTTTCTTTCATTTGGGACCACCACCAACCCAGTTGGCCCTCAGCGAGTAGGTTCCAGCATTGGGCACTTATAATGAGTACTACGTCATGGTCATATGACTTTGTGGTAAAGGTCTCAGCATATGTGCATGAGAGGATAACCAGATGTTAAACACCACACCTTGTGGTTATCTGGGCTTCATAGAACCACAGTTACATTTGTATCTAGCTTTTTCCAACATCTTCAGGACAGAGAAGTTCGTGGTTTCTTTGTTCTCTTTTTACATGGATGTGTGTTGAACATGGTGTATGTGTGTGTAAAGGAGGACCCAGGAGACAGGCAACTATGAAGAAGGTTCTTTTATTTTTTAATGGGTTTTTTCTTTTTTGGCTTGGGTGCTTTTCAGCAATCTTCTCTTCCACTCACTAAAATTCAAATAGAACCAAATTAAGCTGTTAATGGCTTGCTAAGTTCCACTGAATTCAAGCTCAGTTTTAAACTCAAGGAGAGCCTGGTGTGCCAGCTCTGTCTCTCTTTCTGGCTCACAGAACCTGCTGAAAAGAAAACACACTGTTAAAATGAAAAATAATAAAAAAATAAAATAAAATAATCAACTTTGTGGTGGTAACAGTAACAAAGTTAATTGTAAGAAGGTCACTAACTGAAGTACACCACCACAGTATTTAAAATAAATGTCATGTAAAAAAGTCTCTCACAGAGCTGCAGGTCTATTCTTCAGAGATTTTTTTCTTTGGCTGCAATTCCTGCTAAACCGGTTGGACTGTCAATCTCATTATTTCTTCTCTGCTAAAAATAAGGTGAAGGTGCATGCATGGCCTAGCCAATCTCCTGATTTGAATCCCACTGAAAATTTGTGGAGGAGTTTGAAATAGCAAGTTCATCAGAGAGACCATTGTAACTTTGGGGAATTGAAGATGATTTGCTGAGAGGAATCGGGCAAAATGAAACCATAATTCTGCAAAAAAGTGAATTACTTCTCACCATAGACATCTCAAAACTGTAATCTCAAAGCAGCAAGAGCTGTGCTAAAGACTGATGTTGTTAGTTTGCTCCCGTTAGGGGTCGCCGCAGCTGATCATTGGTCTGCGTATTTGATTTGGCAGAGTTTTTACACCAGAATTTTATCTGGGCTTGGGACCAGCACTGACAGCGCACTGTTCCACACAACCCCAGTGGCTGGAGTTGGTTCCCTGGCAGGCAGGGAACTGAACCCAGGCCGCAGCAGTGAGTGCGCTGTGGCCTAACCACTAGTCCTCCAGGGACCTTTGTACATATTTATTCAAGTACAAAGACAAAATTTGGAGGGTGGAAATTTGAAGTGGAGTTATAGACTAGAAATGTCCAAATACTTATTTCACCCACTGCTTATATGAAGCATATACAATATAATAAGTCCTGAAATTACTTCTTTTTTTCTTTGACACAGAAAATGATGAAAGAGCAAAGAAAAGGCTTCTGTCACCATCTTGGCTGCTCTTGAGCTCCTTGCTGTAATAATTTAATGCTTTAAAATGACAGTTTAACAAATGCTGTATCGTCCTGCAAAGGTTATAATACCATAAATAAAATATTTGCAAAACATCCCCATTCTCATCACTCATTTTATTACCATATTTATAGTTTGCTAACAAACAAATTGTCACTATGTGATAAACTTGGTTTAACATTACTGCATTAAACTGCCATAATAACAAATACATCATAAAAGAGTAATGGACCTTATTAAACAATTTAAATGGCTTTAATATACATGATATCTGATGTGTCATCTTTCTGCATTCACAACTTTAATTTTTCAACATATGACCTGAAAGGCAGATCAACCTTACGCCATGTGCCAAAATATTTATAATACAAAAGATATAATATTAAATACAATATTAAATAATCACTGTGGTCGGGGAAAATAAGAAATATGATTGTTAAAAAAATCAGCTTTTTTCTAGATTTGTTTTAATTTGATTGAAAATAGATACAATGGAAGAAACCTTCATACCTTTCTTCTTATCACAATATCTTGAATAGTATTTCTTACTGTCAGCTCTTTGGCATAAATTTTAGAGCAGTTATCTTTTTTTCCAAGATATTTTGACCCAATTTCTAATAATAAAGTGAAACAAATCTAATGTGAAAACACATTTTGCAGCAATCATTTTAGTTACATTAACAATTTCTTGTTTAATGTGATTTAGAAATGGACAAAATTCAAAATTAAAGTGAAAAACAAATAAGAAAGTTTTAGGGGGAAAAACAAAGAAAAGAAAAACATAAAACAACCTGGTTGCATAAGTATGCACACCCTTTAACTAACACTTTGTTAAAGCTCCTTTTGCTTGTTGTACAGCACTGAATGTTTTTAGTTAAGAGTCTATCAATGTAGCACATCTTCATTTGGAAGTTTTCTTCAACTTTTCCTTACAAAAAGTCTCAGCTGAAGAGAAGCAACTGTATAGAAGGATGCTGCCACCACCATGCTTCACCATGGGCATGGTGTTCTTTGGGTGATAAGCTGTCTTGTTTTTTTGCACCAAACATATATTTTAGAATAAAAATAACCTACTTTAACAGACCATAACACATTTTGCCACATGGTACACTACTCCATAGCCCAGACATCTGAAGAATACAAGAGATTGTTGTCACCTGCAGGGGGTGACCAGTACTATTCCTGCAGCTCCTTTAATGTTGCTGTAGGTCTCTTGGCAGGCTCCTGGATAAGATTTCTTCTTGTACTTTTGTCAGTTTGGAGAGACGTCCTGTTCTTGGTGATGTCACTGTGGTACTCAATTTTCTCCATTACTGATGATGATGACATTTATGGTGTTCCATGGTACATGTAATGTTTTGGCAATTCTTTTGTTCCCTTCTCCTGAACAACAGTAAGATGCTTTGCAAGCTCTTTGTGGAACATGGAGTCAGCAGTCAGATGAAATCAAGATGATGTCAAGAAATCTTGATGTGTTATATGTGAATAAAAACATGTAAGTCTGTATATCGGCTGTAGTTCGTTATAACCGCCAGTTTTATCCTGCAGGATCGTATAAATCAGCCTGAAAGGATGAAAGCATTGCTATCTTTTTCTTTCTTTAGGTGGAGATGAAGTAAGGTCTAAATCCCACTGCACCACTATCAGCAGGTAGTCAAACAGCATTGTGGGTGATGTAGGAACCCAGAACCCACAGACTAATATGCTACTTATTAATGGTGGATTTTCTCTTTAAAGTAGAAAAGGCCTCTGATAAAATGCAGGATTAGATTATTCTTTTTGTATATACAGGACTCTTTTGTTCAACAACTCCCATGTAGTGGGTTAGAAACTCCTTGTTCTCCGACGTCTCATGGAAACAGCATTCTGTCTGTGATACCAGTTTGGCACTTCAGTGTCTGCAGCAGTGAACTGTGCTGTATTTGTTATTGTTGTAATTGTAGTGTCCTCTGAGGTGTCTCTGTTTAGTCTATTATCCCAACAGGACATGTCAGTGTGCTTGATATTGGTATTGGATCCTCTGAGCTATCTGTATTCGGTACATTATCCAAATCTGAAATTTCTTCATCTGCAATAGAGAGCTGGTCTGGTGATGTGCTTGGTATCGTTGTTGTGTGCTCTGAGCCACCTACACTCATTTCATTTTCCCAACAGGACATGTCAATGTCTCTAGTGCCTGATAGTTCTGATATTCTGCTTGATATTGGTATCGAGTCCTCTGAGCTATCTGTATTCCCTACATTACCCAAATCTGACATTTCATCATCTGCAATAGGGAGCTCTTCAAATGATGTTGTGCTTTGAGTCGTTATTGAGTCCTCTGAGCTACCTATATTTCGTTGATTATCCCCACCGGGTATTTCAACATCTGCAGTGTCTGATAGTATTGAAGGCATCGGGCTTTTTAATGGTAAAGAATCCACTGAGCCCCCTGAGGAAACAGAATCTGTTGCTGACTGTGAAACTGTTTCTGTTGACTGGCTGTCCATGGCATTCAATGCATTATTGTGTTCCACGTTTTCTGAGATAATCTTAAACCACTTTGGGGTGAAGTGGCAGAAGATGACTCCATAATTGGAGACCATGATGGCTGAGATCTGGATAATGGGTCGTTGTTCATGCTGCGTGATAAAGACTGGAATAAAGCAAAACCAAGCAAACAGATGGATGAGCATGCTGAAGACGATAGGCTCTGTCTCATCATCTCTGCCTCTGAAGGCCAACAGGAAACACACTGCAGCTAGAACTGCGATGTATGCATGCATCACCCAAAAGCCGATCCTGGATGTACCTTGGGTGCACAGATGGTTCATGGTAAGTTGAGAATTTAATTGAATCTTCTCAACAGCTGGGCAATCTAATACAAACCAGAAGATGCAAATGACACCCTGAATAGCAGTAAGGAGGCCTATGAAGACAAACGGCTTATTAATCATAAGCAATTTGCGCTGTGTTTGTGGATCGTAGGCCACATACGCTATAAAAGTGCGATAAGCCTTCATCAGAACGCAGGACACACACAGCGTAAATCCAAGACCATACATGGCCTGTTGTGCCATGCAATGCTGAAGATACGGCCTGCCTAAAAACATGATGACACCTCCAAAACTCACAATAAGACCGACTTTCATAATACAAGAATGTATTAAAGTGTCTTTGATGATGCGATTGTCTCTGTGTGAAATGAAAAAGATGAATGAGAAGATCAATAGCAGTATGCCGACTCCTGTACCAATCATCACCGCGATGGAATATGCTTCAGACCACTTCAAATACCCAACCTTCCACTCCTGACATTCTGATGAACCCGCAAGAGAAAAAGAACCATTTGGACATTTTTGACAAGTGTCTTGATCTGTGGACAGAAAACAATGGAATGTGATATTACTCACATTAATGCCTCTTACTGAAAATAATAATTACTATTAAAATAATAAGTTACTATTTATAACTGTACTATTTATAACTATACTTCTGTCTCCAATTTGATTTGTTACAGAGCAGGTGGGATTCAGGATCTTTTCAATGTCATTCCTCAGGCCACAATTATACAACTCACCTGTTGTGTTAGAAAAGTATCCTTCATTACAATTAGTGCACTTATAGCAACACGGAATATTTAACACACTCTTCTTCTCTGTGCCGGGGAGACAAGTATCTGAACACCTAGACCAGGGCACCTAGATGTAAAAAGAGAGGTTTTCTTTGGTGAAAATATTCACAAAGCCATTGTTTTACAGTGCCTTGCATAATTATTCACCATTCTAGGACTTTTTCCACATATTTTGGAAATAAGGTAGATGTAATTGGGGATTATTAGTTCAATAATTTACACCAAATGGTCTATAATGTCCTCTGGCTTTGTCCAATTTACATCCAGCAGATCAAAAGTATCCCCACAAAAACATACTACCACCACCATGCTTCACAGTGAGGCCTGTGTTCTCAGGGAAATCAGTGTTTCCCCTCAGAGTCCTTTCTCTAGCTCCTTCAAAGTTACCCTTGGTCATATTAATTCATTAATAATTGATTTAGTGGTGCTCTGAGGCAGGAAATATATTTAGTAACTAATGTTATTTTTATGCATTGTCCTGGACCTGCTTGGTCTACTAGACTGCTATGAAATTCCAGAAACAGATGCATTTGTCTGGAGATCTTGTTATACTCCATTCAATGTGATGGAAGGCAGTTGGATGCAACAGAATTGGGTTTCACAGCAAACCAGTGAATAAAAATGCAATCAATAATTTTGAAAACTATGTACAGTAGATCTTTGTCTACTTCAACATTATGGACTATTTTGTCTGGAAGTCTAAAGAGTATACTATATGGAGGTTAGTGTACAAAAATTATATAATGTATTCAAATTAAAATGGCCTAACTTCCTTTTTTTTCATATAACAGCTAAACAGATCACATGACATTCAATTTGATCTCACCGTGTTGTTGGACCACAGGATATTGTGCTCATAGACTTCCACATCCTTCTTGCTTATGAGGAATTTTCCCACCACATTGTGTATTCGTACATCATTGGCCTTTTTCCACATTATTAGATCATACCCGTTGTCGAAATCACCATTCTTATTAAAAGAATATGTCTGGTTGTCCAGGGTGAAGTTTATCTTTTGAAGAATGGCCACTAGCTGAAAGAGTAAACAAAAAACAAAAAACATACAGTATAGTCCACAGCACTGCTGAATTCTGGATTCTGCCTGGCAATAGTTAATTTTCTATACCAGCAGCTCTGACGTTAATGCAGCTGCAAATGCAATG